AACAGCAATACATTAAATTAAGGCATATTTTGCTTAGGTGAAAAATGGATCATTTTGATTGTACTGTGTCTACTGAAACCCCTCAGTGTTTAGAAAACCTAAGGGAGCCAAATATTTAATTAGCCGAGCTATTCTTTAAATTTAATTTGGCTCTCTATTATTCATAATGCCTTCCCAGAGTTACTATTTGTTCATTCAAGTTGCAAACCCTGAACCCGACAGAGATTTAATTCAAAACATCAAACACTTATTGAGAGCTTCTAAAGGTCAAGCCTTATACCAGACCCTGGGGATATGAACAAAATTTTTTTTCAAAATATATGTATCAAGAGAATTTATATGCTTAATCATAAAAATAAAACTAAGATAATAATTAACGAGTAACAGTAGTTTTGTCATGGTGGTGTAATAGTAATTTTTGCTTCCTCTTGTATTTTTTTGAGTTTCTTTAACCTTTTTACAGTCAGCATGTTTTACTCTTAAAATTATATTAAGAAATCAAAAACTAAGAGTCCATGAAAGTGAGAAAAAGAGAAACAAAGGCAACTTAATTAAGTATTTATTATGCTCACCAAATTAAATTTTACATTAAAGAAACAAAAAATTAAGTTTTCTTCTTTAAAACTTACTACCATTTTCAGAAACAATTTGGAGAATCTCAGATCCTATATGACAGCAAATGAGCTTCAATCTGACACAATTTAAATGGTCAAAATCTATTTGTCTCAGGTTTAAGTATTCACCAGACTATAAACGAGTCTTTGCTTCAGCAACATTATTTATAATGTTAGAAAATTTAGTGCCTACAAACTTCCAGGAGAATAGTAAATGCTACATCCAGAACAGAAATAGTAATTTGTATTCAAAGGTAGTTAATCGTGTTTATTCTGTTTTGGCAGACAAAAGTGAAAATGTAGTTTCTGCAAAGTTTTGGATAGTCTACTTACACTAGAAGCTTGAGTAAATACAACAATACTCAAAGAAATAAACTGAAAACCGCAAAACAAATATTTATTAACAAATCGCTTAACCACAGTACCATCAATGAAATTCTTCTCTAATGATCCCGGATTAGTAGCTGCAAACTCAAATGGGAAACTGTAAAACACACACCCAGAAGCCACCATTAATGTTATACTTGTCTGGAAGATTTCAATGTGACTCACAGATTTCCCAACCAATCATAGTCAACTACCTCAGAACTTAGTACAATCTCCTGCAGTTAACCAGCTCCAGTATGCTCTGAAAATAATTTGTTGGGTTTTTTTTAGGTTGATCATAAAAATGCAACCTTGGTTTTGCAGGAGAGCAAAGGGGAGGAAGAGTCTCTATATACTGTAATAAGTTAAGAAAACTATGTGCTGTCTGTTTTAACCTTCAACCTATCCCCTTTTACTTTACTTACACTTTCCTTCTGTCAACAAGTGCTTGTAATTTTATTACACTGTCCTGTAGTTACGCAGAGTTGGTATTACTTTACAGAGTTCTGTTAATGGACTGGATAAATGGTAATGCTTTTAAACTAGTCTCCTGCTCCAAGAGACACAGCTGCAACTGTACTACTATTTCTGAGCAAACATCTTGACCTGAACATGCAGTGCTCTCTCAACCCGTCCAGGGAGAAATTGGAGCAGACAGCAAAGGGAAAGCATATTCGGCTGCTAGCAGCAATAAACCATGTCGAATCAGAATTCACAGACAGTGTACCCTGTTTTACTTTTATATTGCATTTAGAATCCTCAAAAAAGCATGTGGGTTTTTGCCCTGGCATCTCATTTTCAGCCAAGAGTCAAATGAGGATTATTCATTACAAAAACTCAAAAAAACCCCACAACCCTCCATAACATCCAGTATATCAGGATAGCTTTTGTCTCAGCAAACAATGATAATAGTCAAACTTTATTTATGTACTTAACAGGTAAACATTTTAAGTGATGATATAGTAGAAAAAATACATTAAGTAAAAGATGTAATGAGAAAAGATGTACATGGTAATACTACTTGGCATCATACTGTAATTTATAACAAGAGCATCTAAATTTGTTTCTTTCATGATATATATATATATAGAATATATGTGTATATTATAGCATATATATAGAAGGGGGAGGGGGGAGAGGGAGAAACAGAGGCAGAGAGAGTGTTGGACACCTATACATCCCTTAATATACACATGCAACAGCAAATCAAATACTTTATTTGTCCCAATACTACATTCCTGTTATTTGTCAAAAATCCTGAATCCTGGGTCACGGATTTAGCTCAATGGTCTCGCCTCCTGCTGCGCAAGCACAAGGACCCGAGTTCAATCCCCGATACCCACCCAACCCCCCAAAAAATCCTGAATCCTCTCTCTTGTCATTGTTCTTGTGGAAGAAAGATTCATTTTTTTATGAATATTGTAAAGGACATTTTTGCATGTAGGTTTGTACATATTTTCCCACCCACTATGATATTTGTCTCAGATGGGTTACCTGTCACCTGTATTGTATTCAGAAAATTGGAAACTGCAACTTTGTTCTTTCTAATTACACTAGTCTATAGTCAGCTGCACAAGCTTTTGTCCCTTTGTTTACTCAGATTCTTCATACTGGTTGCTTAATTTAATTAGTAATCACCATCATAAAAATATAGCCACATGTAGTCCATAGCTTTCTCTCTCAAGAGAAATATTATTAACAATTCACCGAAATCTAATTCAAATAAAGCAACATTTCTCAATGCAAAAGAATGTTCTTTACTTGAGAATGCACATAAAACATACAGCCCCAAATTTCTATGTGCAGCCAGTGGCTATGTCAGTTGTCAAATGCCAAATAAGAAAAGACGCCTTTTCAAGAGTAAAAATTAATTCATAAAGGTATAACCAGAGAGATCAAAATATTTACATCCCTATTTTAACTAATACAACATAACAACACAACTTTCGGCTCCTTACTCCCTTGGAAAATTTTTTGAGTCAAATAAGCACATAAGAACTCTGAATATATTTTTTAGCTACCCATTTTTGGTTGTTTTTTTTTTTTTTTTTTGGTACCAGGGATCAAACTTGGGTCCTTGCACTTGCGCAGCAGGCAGCAAAACCACTGAGCTAAATCCCCAGCCCCTATTTTTGTGTTTTTTAACTTGCCTTAAATTAATTAGAAAACACTGTCATAGTTTTATAGCTTTTGTTTCTTTATCTCAGTTCTCAAATACTTCAAGTCTCTTTCTTTCTTAAAAAAGGCTTAAAGTTAAAATCATAACAAAATACATGAGAAACGCCTTTGCTCCACTATGAGATATTGTCAAAAAAGGAAAAAAAATCTCAAATGGAATATAATTCGCCAATGGGGGTTTCTGCAAGGGATTACACCACCTGAAAACTCCCGGAAAAACTGATCCAAATACATAGTAAGTGTCAAACATTCTTGTTTCCCAGAGACAGTGTGAAGGCTGCTCCCTATATTTCCCCCTCTTCAATTTAGTAATTTTAATTCCAGATAAGAGTCATTCCAATTCAGTGCATTTTTATAGTACCAAGAAAATAATTTCTTAAACCGCTGTATGTTGTTTATACATGCACCACTAGCAAAGTAGGGCTTTAATAGTGCTCATTGTATACGAGCCTTGAAGTCAGTTATTTCAAATCCCTCAATCACTAATAACTAAAATAGGAAATGGAATATTATTAAAACCAACTCTGTGGCCATTCTTAGAAACACTAAGCAAATATTTAAATATAAGTTTCAACTCATATATGTACATATAATTTTAATTGCAGCCTACATACTATTTCCTTGGTAAAAATAGCCCCTAGAGAATATCTGTTAAAAGAAGTTTCTTTATTTGATTTTTTAAGATCATATTCAATTGGGCCAATTAAGCAAAACTATATATATATATAAATAAAAGAGTACTACTGCCAGCAACTCTGGCTATCCTTAGAGGAGAAATGTCAGGAAAGTCAGACTCTAGACTAGAGACAAGATGTGACACATCAGGTGGAAAAGTTCTTCCTAGGGTGTAATAAGGTATCAGGAGGACCCAGCAAAGATCCTGGCTTCGACAGTGGTATGTGTGGAAGGACTGTTCTCCTACTTCTGGAACTGATAACAGTACTAAACTTGTAGGCTACAAAGCCAAGCTTGGAAAAAGCAATATGCACACTTTCTTTTCAGACATGACCACATGGGACCTCCCCACTGTCCAGGTGGGCCTGCTCTGAACAGTTTATTCTACATATCCCAGTATACATGAATACCAATAATCATTGCTATTTATTTTTCCAACACTTTGTAGCTTGTCTTCCATCTGCACAAAATCATTCATATGGCTGAAATTTAATTTTAAAAGCTTTCCAAAATGTGCTTTCACACATTAGGTCAGTGAATAAGCTTTCCAAGGAGGAAAAACTGATTCTATCTCATATTCACATTATGCTCCATTAAAAAACTACTTTCTTTAATAATCTATGACGTATTTGATATGGAAACCTTGCAATCATTCATATTGAAGAGTTTGGAATTCTGGCTTTAAAAGAAATATTTAAGATGGAATTTACAGCACTTGTTAAATACCTTATAATAATATTTTCAGACTAATAAACACTACTACTTGAGTACAGGAATAATACCAAAAGAAAGGAAATTAAGATTCTCAACTTTATAAGAACACACTGCCAACTTCCTCCTAGGAAGAAGCACAGTAGCAATTTTCCTCTTTCGACTTTAATCAAAAGTTTCTAATACGTAAATCTCAGCATCATCACATGACCAAAAAACAATTATACAATTACAATAATATACATAAACCACTAAATGCTAACCAAATAAAGCCACTAAAGCCAATAGAAAACCAATCAATCCTAAATATCCTTTAGAAAATACAAAGGCAAGCTTTGAATCCATTCATCTATTGGTGAATAGATTCCAGGAAAGCACCGGGAAACAGATCCAAAATACATTTAATAAAACACAAGGTACTACCCAAAGCAACAATAACTATTTGTGTCTACTTACAGCCTGTATAGCTTGGCAGTCCCAAGAAACAGCAACTCAGGAAACAGCTGAAGGTGATTTCTGTTTAAACGCCTTTTGAGAAAACAAAAACAAAAGCTTGTGTTACATAGAAAATATTCAACAATGAGACTGCGATTTGGTAGTGTCATGCCTCATCTTGTATTTCAAGAAAGAATGAAATGACATTCAAAAGAATCCAAGCATTGCAAATCAAAAGTTGGTTACACCTTTTGTTACGTGACTCTTTAAAGTAATTCCCATTATGCTTACTCAGATAATGATTACTGAGGCCTGAACTCTACACTCAAGTCCCATGCAACATCAGTCAATCAGAGGATTCACAATCCTAAAAGATTTCATGCCTCAGACTCACACACTACAGTAAATGGTGCCTTAAAATAATTCATACACTGACCCAAGTGACCTCAATTTTCAGCCAAGGCCTCGTTAACAATTTTGTTAACAATTTTGTTAACAATTTATTTAGTGAAAAAGACTGAGCATCATTTGTGTCCATAGGCAAAATCAGAAAAAAAATCAACAAAGTTGAAACACGAACCCACAACTCTCAACTCTTCACTGAATTTAAAGCTCAGAGTTAAAATGTTAAATGTTAACTGACATTGGAATGTTCTCAATGTTTGAGAAAATAATTTGACTGCAAGCCTAATACAGTTTAAGCCCTCATGCTATGTAACTAAGTTTTAGGAGATCACCTACGCCTACAAAATAAAGTGGGAAAATTGTATCTCTGGTGTTCAAATATTTCAGTTCTATCTGGTTTAAGTATACAATTTAACATTAAATTTAAAATAATTGTCTATCTCTGCTTTTTTTTCCAATCTAAATAAAATGCAGACTAGCTCATGTAAAATACAAAAAAAAAATGACTTACAAGCTGCTTAGCTTAGTGGGCAGTTAAGTCAGTCCAGAAACTAACGTCACAATGAAAAAATCAGAGGTCCTCTTATACGTATCTTAAAGACACATGTTTTGGACACAGGGAAAGAAGGCATATCAATCTTGACATAATTAAAGGATCATAAAGTACAAGCAGAATTAGAAGACTAATTTAGTCTCTAGAGGGTAGAAATGCGACCAGTGATTGCAATTCCTGAGATAGGAGGTAATGAGCAAGTCCTTTCTAAGAATTAGAGACAATAGGAAATGGAAAGATTGGCTTTGGGAAACTCTCCACTCCTAATTCCACATATATTCAAGAAGAAACTAAACACTTTTCTCCAGAAAGGGACATACTAAAGAGAAATCTTAATATTAAGTGAGAAGCTGGACAAGGTGAACTTCAGAACTTCTTCAATATTCTAAGATGCCATGAAGCAAGGATGGTGACCATAACTTTATCTACAAAAACATTCTCAGCACTTAAAAATGTATCCTAATGCAAATGTTTGCCAAGACAAGTAAGGAGCAAAGAATAAAATCACTAGTGAAGGGGCAGATTTCCTTCCTACTTATATGAATAAAACATATGATAATGTTAAAGTGAAACCAAAAGTTTGTGTTTGTTTTCTGTTGAGCATGCTTCTGAGTAAGAAGGAGTTCTGGAATCTATTTCTAATTTCAACCAAATAGCCTTCAATTGCGACTTATTATATTAGTCTTTCAAAAATATAGATTACAAATATTTGCCAGAGAGGTAATGCAAACTTTTCTAGGAAAGCAACCATTCCTGGAAAATGTGTATTGTCCAAAGAGCCAATTCTGATTACAAAAAATGGCAGAGATGGATTTTCTTAGTAATATCTAAGCCATCTGATTAACAAACTTCATCCACAGGAGGTCTGCTCCTTCAGACCTCAAATCCCTGCAGAGCAGCTCTCGGTACAGAGGCTTTCCCTTTTTGCCAAGTGGAGCCTTCTCACATCCTCAGTGAAACCTCCCAATTCTCCTACACGCAGTTAGTGCCTCCCTTGCACTATCTCCAAAGCATTTGAAAGTAAGAGTCCTTTCCATTGTGCTATACTTACTCGTGTACTGGTCTCTTCAAGTGTAAAGATTATTATCTTTGCATTCCGTCCCTCCCTCTTTGGCAGGTACTAGGTTTTGATCTGTATTAAAAGGCAAGGAGACCAGTCTGTTCTCATTCAACATTCTCTAATCTTCCCTGGCAGCAGTTTCTCAGTAAGTGTTGAATGAGAACAGACTGTTCTTGGATTGTGAAATAGCTCAGTAAGGGTCTGGCATACACATTTTATGCTGGACAACTTTTCTCTGCCATACTCCTGGAGATACCTGCCTTGGGTTTGACGCCAAAGTCTCACCACTCAACCTGCTTCCTTGTGCCCTAAAGAGCAGTTATGTCATTTCCTCCTCGGCATCGACCTCCATGCGCCCTGTCCCCACCCCACATGGCCTCAACATCACCTAAAAGTTGAATGAAATTCACTGTGTTTTCAAAACCTCAGATTCGAACCAGACTTGAAGCTGCTACTAGCTTTCTTATTAAGGATCTGTATAAGTATGACTTCAAATATTATGAGAAAGTAGATATTTCAGATTGCACACAAGTAGGGCGTTTTTCTTAGTCATCACCATCGTCATCATCATCATCATCATCATCATCATCATCATCTCCATATTCTCCAGTGTTAACTCCACAAGTAAAAGCTAACATGTATGACACTTAACTACGTGTGGGTGCTCTTTGGAGAAGATTACATGAATTATCTGATTCACTCTTCCCAATATGCCCATGAGTAGGTATGATGCTGATTGCTGTTCTGGAAAGCAGCATACAGCTTGAAGACAGAGCAAGGACTTGAACTGGGGTACTGTGACTTTGGAACACGTCTTATAAATCAGCTCCTCCAAGAAACAGTCTAAACATTCCTATACAATAATTCAAAACAATGTAATACCAAATTTTCCTCTTCACCAAACTTTCCTTGAGAAAAGCAGTTTTACATAGTCTATTTCTTAAATATTTATAAACTCTTTAAAAAAAAAAGATTCTGGTTAACTATCTTAAGCACTCAATTTAAATACCTAAATTCGAGGCAAAAGGGAAAAATGGATCAAAACATATTTCTCTAAATTCAAGTAGTTTATTATTCTTTCATGAAAGTTATTATGATCTTAATATGTCAAAGTCAACCATGACACATTTCCATTTAATGCATAATACTAGGTAATAGTACACAAAACAGGGCAGGTAACAGTAAACAGGGATAATATGCACGAAAAAAGTGTAAGTTTAGTTTTTTTCTTAAAAACAATATTAGTACACCTTTTGCTCCTATTCCATGGTCTCTTTATCAGTACAAGGCTTAAATTTACATGCAAATATTAAGATTAAAAAGTAAAATGTTTGAAAAATATTCAATAAAGGAAATAGTCTTATACAATGAAATTACATCCTTAAACTAAAGAGCATTTACAAAATATCTGAAATTATATTAAAGACTGTTAAAGTGCAAAACAACTACTAAAAAGAGCTTGAAAAACAGTAATCTCACTTCTAAATCAGAGAAAATGTCTTAGCAGCCTAAAGGTCATAGTGTCATAACAAGAACTCCAATGTACATGAGTTGAAGTGATGGTCCTAGGATAGAAAAACAGCATGTGGTGAATTAAGGTTATTGCACTGGATTATATATGGGAGCCAACATAATTGAACTCTCTGAAGCAGACCAGGTAAGTCAAAGGCCCACTGTTTCGCACAAGGACACTCAACAGTGTCCAAGGAGAGAGAATAGATGTATAAGTGATACCTCGCTCTGCGTCATCATCCCTAAATGGAATCTGACTACAAGATCCCAGGACTGTTTGAGAATTCTCTTGATTGCACACTCAAGATTTCAGAAAGGTGTGTGATATAGCTCTCTGAGATAATTTTTTCTTAGGACAACAATGAGAAGGGATCACAATAACTTTTCTCTGCTACCAGCTATGTTTCAGCATGACTTTCAGTGGGGTGAATGACCTTTGTGTGCTGCATAAAGCACTGGTCTCTGAAATGCCGATTCTGAACCTTCTCAATTTGAAGGACACCTGGGCATTATTGACAAGCTTTGTTCTAATTATTATGTGCCAGCTGCTTATGTGACTCATGTCCTTTTGTAGAGATTATAGTCCCTTACTCTTTTCAAACTTCAATAAAGTAATATTTGAAAACTTCTATCTAATGCAAAATGAAAACAATTTTAATAAAGACAGTGGAAAATTGACACTTCATATTTACATATTATAAACATATGGTATTTAAGCAGCATCCCTGATCTGTACTATGAGATAAATTTTGGCTTAAAAATTCTATCATTTCTAATCTTCTACTTCTTATTCATAAATGATTAATTAGCTCCTTTTCCCTTCTTCTCAGATAATGTTTCCACCTATCTTTTTATACTGGTTTTATTCTAACATTTTAAGCAAATATTTTAATATTTATCTTGCATTACAAAGACAAAGTTAAATCTTCAGCAATGTTGCCAATTTAGCTTGTATTACATAAATTAGATTGTATTTCTGGTAGTGACACCCATGAAACTTTTCCCCTTTATTCCATGCTAGAGAGGTCAACAATTACTAGTAAAAATGCTGCTTCTTATTCAAACAGTTCGCTTACTGGTATTTCTCTACATATTCAGAAATATATGAGAATGATTCTGAAAAAAAAAAAACCATGATGGAGACTTTGTACTTCATATCTCTTCTACTAGTGACATACTAAATGGTAAGAAAAACCATAATTAAATAATAAAAACTATAAATGCATTAATGTAGCATGTACACACTTCTGATAAAATAATTCCTAAACTCAACTTCTGGGAAATGACAGGTATGTGCATAATGACAATCCTTTAAGCCCTGTATGGCAAGTGTTGGTTGAAGAAAACTATATATAATATATTCTATATATATACAGATATATATATATACACATATAGTATATATAGTATATAATTTAATATATTTGAATTGTTTGCATTGTTTGAATAAATATACACACACATATATATATTTTTTCTTACTTAAATCCTATACTGCCCGTAAAACTACACTAAAAGGATTATCTTTGTTTTAAATATGAAGAAAATAAAGTTTTTAAAGAT